TCCGTGGTCAGTGGGCACGCGTGAAACAACCCGCGCCACTCAACACGAACAGGGTGGAAGTAGAAAAACGGACGACAGTTTGGACGAAATTTTCGCTGACAGCGGGTTGGAAGTGTCATCAGACGAGGATACCGCATCTACCCCGGAAGACAGTAATGAAGAAAAAGTTGAACCTGTCCCCAGCTCATCAAAATCGTAGGAAAAGCAAAACTTACGAACTGGCTGGCATGAGAACAACCCGGTCACACATATATGCCAGTCGCCGTTCACCGAACAGACCGACTACATTGAAGACTGAAGTACGTTGTAGACTTGCAGGAAAATTCTGTGGAAAAAGGTTGGTTATGACTGTATATTGAGTGTGGTTACCAATGCATAATTGAGAAATTTGACTTGGTAGTGAAAGGGATAAAAGCGCCAGGCCCTGTTTCAAAACACGCAGTTTGCTCTTTTTATTTTATTAAGAACACCACTTTAGAATCTTGTGTAAAAAAAGGAAAATGATTTGCTGCATTTATGACCTTCTTATAAACTTGCACAACAACGTGCTATTACAGAAACATAATGTTATCATCGTTTCTCTTGACTTTCAGGTAAAACTCAAATTCCAAGAGTAAAAGGGCCACAATAACTACACAAGACCCCGATTGTCTGCCTGAGGAACTGAATGTGGCACGTGACCACAATCCAGCCTTGAACTTGACATTATGATTCCGGCGAAGAGCAGTTCCCATCAAAGGAGCTTCCGTTGCTTGGAAAACAGCACTTTCCCTTTGTCCAGCTCGAGGCTCACACACTACGCTGTACTACACATAAAATGAACAGCCATATTGTTTCACACGACTCTTTCAACATGCAGCTCTGGACGCTTGTCATAAACAGCGCCACCTTGTGTCCGAAGTGATGAATTTCAATTGAGCCTTACCGGCATGATAAACTAATTGTGGGGATTTCTCATTATCAGCTGAATAAAAAGCCCTCAAGGGGCTTTTTCTGTCTGTCCTCAGATTTGGACATCATTAGAGTAATATCTGGAAGGATGTTTCAGAAGAATACAACTAGCTTAAAGCTTGATTTTTTATTTTATTTGACCTATCCGTAAGGATAGAATTGGTAATGAATGATGACTTATGCTTAATTTCATTGCTTCCGATAAAGAATTTTGTAAAGAGCGATTTGTTTTTGTGGAGAGCAGCATTGGGTTAGGCTTATTGGGAAGACTGCTTCAGAACTTCCGTAAGGCAATCAAAACTTTGACTTTATGAGTCGCTGATTTGTAAGAGGCCAAGTCAGGTCTCGTGGAGATTTTGAAACCTTTGTGTTAATCTGTGGAGATCACGTAGTGACAGGATGATTAAAAAAATAATTAAATCTTGCAGAATTTAGGGTTTTCACAAAACAAATATGACGACACCACAATAATTTTAAACACAATATAAACATTCTTCATGGTTTTATTCTATCAATTTATTTCCTCAGAAACCTATTTTCAGAATTTTGAGATGCAAAACACATTTTTCGACAATCACAGGCACTGTTTTACTACATTTTCTAGCAACGCTCCTTTCCTTGAGAATAAAAAAGACAATACATGTAATTACACAAGCAAACTATTGTCTGCATAAGGAACTGAGTGTGGCACGTGACCACAATCTAGCCTCGAACTCGGCATTATCATTTAATAGTTTTATTCTTAAGTGCAGTTACCAGCCTCGGTTTGTGCAGATTTTAAGGGTTATGCGGATCCCCTGGATTAAACAAAAGTCGTTTGACTTCAGTGATTCCAAGCCTTTTGAAAAAAGTACATATATTGGCATCCATCTTAGTACTTAGTTGATCTTGTTGTGACTCATTTCAATGAAATGGCTCAAACGTGATCAAGTGCAGAGTTCTTGAAAATATTTCATTTCTGATGGATAATGCAAGTTTGTCATAGGCTTTCATTTGTCAGTTCCTCACGCGGAATCAGCAATGAGAAAGATTTCTTAAGGATCATTGTTCAAAGTGAACCTTGAATGTATTCAAAGAATGATCAAAGACTTAGTTTAAGAATGACAAAGTGAATCATTTAGCCGTTGTTCAATGACCTTGATGAAGAGACAGAAAAATCAACGTAAAATTCCAGTATGTGTGAAACATAATGGAATGTCACAGAAACAATAAACAAATGATTTAGGAATGTAGTTTAAAAAATACCAGAAAGCCACCTGTTCAGCAGTAAGCTAGGAATGTTTAATTCACAGGTCTGACAACAATTATATGATGATTTGAATCTTCATTTTATCTCACCCCGTCCTACAATCCTCATTCATCACGAAGATGAACAATCCCAGGAAAGTCAAATGGAACACGAGAGAAATTCGAGAAAATTATTCATTTGGCTTTGTTTCTTCTTAATTTAATATAATTTCGAAGAGTGCAAATTGGGCCACTAATTTATTTCTAGAGTTTAGAGGGAAATTTGCAAGGAGGAAAATTAAAAGAGCGTAATTTGAGACTTCACTTGGAAATTATGAGCTTTCTACGTTTTATTTAAGTAATATGTTTGCTACAAATACCATAGGCAATTACAGCTGCCTTTGACATTTAAAAAGCAGCTTTGATCAAAAGCAACATTGCAGACACCACAGCGTAGTTGACGCGACGAGTGGTGGCGCTGTTGCAAAGTGCAGAGGTGCAACAGCAAGATGTTGTGTCGACTCCAAGCACAGAAATGGTCTTACAGCTGTTTGGCCCACCGGTCAACGCGTCAAGGCAGCTGGCAGAGATACCACATTGGCGTTGAACGTTGCCGCCAGCTTTGATTTTCTGTCAAGGTAAAAAAGTGAAAATTGTTTGTGTGCTTGTTGTTACTTATGTAATGCTAAAATGTTGGTCATCTGTAACATTGAGATAACGGTTGACGGCAAACAAGCTAACACCTGAGTTATTTCAGGTTGATATCGCCCTTTTCCAGATGTCCGTGGTTCGATCCGGTGAAATGCACTGAACAACAAATGCTTAATCGTGATCTGATGCCAGACTTTCATGATTTGCGTGGTACCCAGCCCCCCTTTCCGTATTTTTTTGTAAATCAGCCTGAAAACGGTAGAGTAAGCTGTATCACAGATTTGTAATTTTTCATCAGCGTAGATTTGTCAAAAATTCCAAAATTATTGCTCTTCTTTCGATTTTTAGCTTTAATCAAAATAAAGAGCTAACCTTGCATTCAAATACAATATGACCGATCCATAAATAGAGTTTCTTGTACCATAAATTTGTCCTGCCATACAACAATATAAAATTGCCCACAGCGCGTTAATTTATAATCAAGGTCTTACAAATTGCAAAACAGTCGAGTAACCGAACAGATAACAGCCGATGAAATGGAATGAGCTCGAGGTATACAGGGACGCATTTAGGAGAACGTTACATTAGTAACTTACTCGGTCGTCGCCCAGCGCCCAAACAGGGTGCTAGGAAGGGCTGGTGGTGTGCACTGTGATTGGCTACTTTGTGCACGACCTACGACCGCGAGGTTATCACTTCCTGTTAGCGAAGCGTTATTTAACGTTTTGATTAGCCGATGACAATGCTTTGACAAGGATCATAATGTTGGCTTGTATGGTAAAAACATGTCCTTGGTACAACCACGGTAATTTATCCTCTCGCTAAGTAGTATCAATGATCACGTGTTTTGACAATATGTTTCAAATCAATAGTTATCTTGATCAATTTTGATAAACTAATAAAGTGAAGCAAGAATGTTTTCATCAATGAGGAAGAAACAGAAAAATATCGAATTGATAACTGCCACATAGAGCGAGCTCGCGCACCCGACAGAAATTTACCCACAATACTCTGCGTGTTGTTAGCTGTGAACCCGGGTGAAGTTCTCCCTTTACTAAAATCTGTGCAAGGCCATCGGCCTTCCCAGCGCCTGTTTGCTGGGCGGAGAGCAATGTAACATGTAGAAAAGTACTCGGGAACAAGAAAGAGTTTGATTTAAACTTCCTACAAACGTGGTTCTTTTTAACTAGTGTGAAATGCTTCTTCATAAGGCGGTTGATCAAGGGAATTGTCAGTCCGTCGGAATGGTAATCTTTTTTTAATCTAAAAGACTATTTCGTCCAGATGTAAAATGTAGGCTTACTTACCACGCATGCGTCGCCTGCAGACCCGCATGCTGTGTTGTTTGCCTGAGCTTTGTTGAATGGGTCGTTGCATGTTCCCAACGCACACTGGTAGCAATTCAGAGCATGCGCCGTACCTAATCAAAAGCAATTTGAAAATGGTATTTTTAAATTCAGATATTCTAACCATTTGATTCAAATCTCAGTATCGTTGCACCTTCTATTCCTATGTCAGTTTTCAATTGAAAATACATAAAATACAATAGAAGTATTATTTTAAGTTCGACTATTGGAAGAATCTGCCGTGCAGCCCAAGGTGGACTCTCAGTTCTGCAGCCACATCAATAGGATGACCTGGGGAGGAGGCTAGTTTCTTAGCAACAGAAGCCTCTTTGATCAGATCCAAACTTTGCTTGTTCACGAACAACCAGGAAATGTACACATCACGGCCACATGGCTACCAAGAAATTCAACTATTTTGACCAATGCAGCACTTTTCAACCGATGAGAGGGTGCTTTTACTCAAGGTAATCGATTGTCTGCTCGTCCCTGCGTATGGATCGAAGACCTAGGACTGGCTGTATGTGGACAACGCTGCAACTTTTGAGCAACTCCATGGTGGCAACCGAAATGTTCCCCCGTTACTGTTCTACAAATAGACCAGTTCACTAATAAATTGTATTTTACGTGCGCATGCGCATCAATGGCAAAAGGAGGCGGGGAGCCTGAGCGAGCCATTGAAAATGTACAAGAGCACAAATTTCAGCTCCTTTTGTCTCACTTTCTAGAATCACTTTGGCCTCAGAAAAACCCATATATCTTTGTAGCTAGTACTTTCTGGACTAAAAGGATGCAATAAATAATAATAATAAAAATAAAAAGGTCTTTACTTTCGCCCTGAGCGCACGAGGTAAAAAAAATTAGCAGGGCACTTTTCCAGCCATGATTAATATTAGAGTTTTGTACTTCAGGGTATTATGCACCACTCGTATATGCTGAATCGAGGGCTGAATCCTGTGCTGAATCGCAGACTGATTTCTTTCAACCTCGTACGCTTGGAAAAAACAAAATTTTGAAGTTTTATTTTGGCTTCTAACATTCCGCCAGAAAGAGCTAGACCGTTTTTGAAGACAAAAGCTGAGAAGAAATGACGATAAAATTTGTGCCCCTGCCCATTTTCAATGGGCAGCTCGGGCTTTCTGTTTTGTCATGAACGCGCATGTGTACATAAATTAAAATTCATTAGTTAACTGGTCTATAATATTATTTGCATCACGCTCAAGCGAAAGTATGAAGTATGGAAATGACTCAAACACAAATGGACTGGTCGTTGTGGATCTGCAAATATCCTTGCTGTCACAAAGCGTCTTAAAGTCTTCAATTATTATCCCAGGCTAGTTTTCCCAGCCAATTAATAATATCGTGTCGCACGTAGCTATTGACTGTCAATGATTTGGACATCTTTGTATTTTAAGCGTTAATATTCATCAGTAATTATAATCAAGGAGACACATTTACAATTCCTTGAAGTGTTCAGGGCTCAGGAGAATATACACAGAAAGTCAATTTCTGAAGAGCAATTTTTTTTGCCAGTATTGACGACACTACTTGAAAATGAACGAATCGGTTAATTTTGAAAAAAAAAATATTAAAGGAAGAATTCGTTTGTTTTGTCAGATTAACTCTGCGGCTTCCCGACCAAAATAAAGATCCCTCAAATGGACCATGGGATTGGATGTAAAACAAGCAGTACATTAAAGTACAATCCTATGGGAGGCCCTGCAAAACAATTTTTTTCACTTCTCTCTTTCAACGATTTGTCTTCCTCGTGTTTCTGAATGTTGGACAATAATATTCAGGATAATAATAGTCAGAAATATTCGGCGGTCTTAAACTATGATAGTGAATATCAATAAGCCACTACTGGCCAATCAGATTAAGGATTTGAAGTTCATCCATCCTGAACTGACCAATCACGTTAATTTCACACAGTACAGCGACTGCTGCCCTAAGGATGCATTTTACCGACCAGTCTTAAAGGCTTAAAAACATTTTAATAAAAGTATTTCTTGTAATCTATATATGCATCTGTGACTTGAACGAGAGATTCTGGGAAAAACGTATCTTTTTGTTGACTGGTTCACCTCCCAATTACGTTCATGCACAAATTTCATGGCTTGTTTGTCGTCCAATCCCATGTTGGAAGGAATCCGTTGCAAATTTTTATCAGTTGAAATCTGTCGGTCTAAGAAACAGACTACCTATCAACTCTGTGCACAGGTGCAACGAGATGAGAGCCTCTCTGACTACTAATACTTAAACCGTAGTTATGCAGACTTACTCTCGTCTTGGCACCTTCCTTGTGAGGACCCAAAACGTTTTTGGGTCAATGTTTGTCTTCAAAACTGGGTCTCAAATTTGCTAACCAAAATACACCCTTAACCCAGGGAAAGCCGCGTAATTTTCTTTCCTGGGAATGTTAGGTGTAATTTTCATAATAGGGGAGCGGTTAACTGCAAGCTCGATCAGTTTGGTGGACACTTAAAAACTTGAGTGCTAAGGTAAATCTCAGGCTTTACTTTCCTGATATAAAAACATCCTCTAACCAACTAATTCCCCGCCAAGAAATAAAATTACTACACAAGAGATTCGAACTCTGGGCTCGTTGGTTCTAAGCACAATACTCTCCTAATAGAGCTACCATGCACGTCGGCCAGAGGGGCATTTAAGTTGTATACTTAAAAGTTTGTGTTTGTGTTACGTGTTTATAATAATTGCCCCCCAACCTCCTCAGACGAAAAACACACGCGCAACGGTTAAGGTACGCCAATTTTATTACAATTACCCCCAACCCTCGTAGGAAGAAAAAACTCAGGAAGGCCTAACCAAAATACACAAAGTTTACACAGGCCAATGTTTCCACTCAGCTTAACACTGACAAAACGCTTCGACTGAACAAATATGTCGCTTTTTCTGTGCGCATTGTGAAAAGTAGCAGCTTTCAATATGATTAACTTCTTCAGTGTTCTTTGTCATAAACACCATCTCTTTCAGGAAGGAAATGGAACTTTTCGTTTGCATGGAATTTTCAAAGCAAAGTGCACCACCAATTCGATGGAAAAGGCCTTGAAGTTTCCATGGCACATGACGTGGCTCAGTTCATGAATTGGTTACTCCATTATCAGTCTACTTTGCCAGAAAAACAACCTTTTAGTGTGTGGAATTGGTGCCGCAAATTCATAGCATGAAATGAAGTGTAGACTGTCTAGATCATAACCTGGGGCAAATGGATTTTTTTCAGCCGTCATAATAACCGTGGAACAATTGAATTGATAGAAGAGGAAAAACGCAGTTGAAGGCGAGAAATGAACGAATCGGTCAAAATTTGGGAAAGGTGCTGGTCATGTGAGTCATATTTTAATGAAATACCCACACAATTCCAAATGGCAGAACCAATATTAAATTTGGAAAGACAGAACAAAGTAAACGACTCAGCTAGAATATAAAAACCTCGGCCTCCAACATCCGCCATATATTCATGTCTAGGAATAACGTACGTCAGTATCAAGTTAACATACTCAGAGCGTTAACAGTCTAGGAAATACAATATACCATTTACTTTTAATAGTATTCAGGGGCCTGACTTTCATGCATTTGACGTTGAAATTACCACAAGACACCGTTTTTACAATGAAAGAAAACACATTTGCAAAAGACCGGAAGAAATGCGCAGAAGGTAGGACTCATCCCGGACCCTTTGATGAGTGTACATTGTGGCTTTCTGTCTCAAAGATAAAATCTACACTTCTTGGCAGTCTTCCATGTTTTTACCCAGCCCCTGCAGCCTCGGTTTGATTCCCAACCCGTTTCCATATTTCAGAGTGTCTTACTCAGACTTTTCTGGTTTTTCCAGAATGTTTTCTCCCACCTTTAAAACCGACACTGCTTGGTACTGTCTCCCTCTACACGTTTCTTCCGTTTTGGCAGAGGAAAGCGGTCACAACTTACCCAGGCAAACAAGAAGAGAGATGACTGCCAAAGTCCACTTCATGACTGGAGGAGAATCTTCGCAAAGGTACTATCTATGGATTCAAAACAGAGTGAAGTAAGACTAATGATCGACGTAGTTTTGATAACGGGAATCATGCAGAAAACAATAGCTATGTACATGTATGGTCATGTAGGTTGAGAATTCATTCCACTGTGCGACTCCATCGTTTATAAAATTCGAGACGGAATTTCTTTCACTTAACCAAATGTTTTGTGGAAACGCGTTTGTATTTCAGAGCGCAAAAGCTGATCGCCAACCATCGAAATCTTACCTGAAAGTTTCACCTTTTGCAGTGTCTGAAGACTCCACTGGAACTGCGCAATCGCTCTCGGGAAACGCCCTATCAGTACCAAACATATGGGCCGTCACAATGTGCGTAAGCACCTATGATTGGACAGACTTTATCACGTGATGTAGCTTTGAGGCGTCAATGTTGAATAAAGATGAGGCTAAATAATGGCTTTCCAATGTCACGTACACGTTGAGTGGGCCCTGAAAGGAGAAATGTAAACGTGCGACAATCGGTGTGCCTGTTCCACTCTTTTTAAGAGGGGTGTGCAAAGTTGTAACAAACAAAAAGTCCCGTATTGAGAGTAAAAGCTTGAATTTATTTCGTAGGATGATTTGAAGGTCTGTTCTAACTCAAATATGTACACAAACCTGTTTTTTGTAGATGATTCTAGACATGGATGTAAACCCCGGGGTCGGGATATCGTTTGTAATTTACAAAAGCACTGCGTGAATTTACGAAAGGATTTTGTTATATTATTTTTGCATTCAAACTGCGTTATTTTGCAATTTTCAATCTGAAATATTTCATGCCTGGCACTAATGTGCTTCCGTACAAAGGGATGGACCCATTTATACATTTCGTGTGACCCAATGATGCCTTTCACACTCGCTGATAGGGGAATTGTGACATCGTGCGTTGCTCAAGTGTGAGTATTCAAGATGGATCCTTTTCCTGACTGGGAAATATTACGGTTTGAGTTCATTAGCAGCAGGGTGACCATTAGCTTTGGTATGTACCAGAGTGTATGAAAAGAAAGCAGAAAGATAAAATCTGAAGCTAAAGAATTTCAAATAGCAGTGCAACGTGTACTAAAACTCATTTGCGGTAATGAGGAAAAAGAAAATAAAAGCGCCTATTTCTAAACATGCAGTTTTCTCTTTTTTATTTTGTTAAAACATCACTTCAAAAACCTGTATTAAAAGGGAAAATGATTTGCGACATTTGAGTCATTCAAATAAATTTGCAAGACAATAGGCTCTGACAGAAACATAATGTTATAAACGTTCCTCCTGGCTTCCAGGTAATTACTCTAAACCCCAAGAATGAAAGGGCCACAATAATTACACAAGACCCCGATTGTCTGCCTGGGGAACTGAGTGTGGCATGTGACCACAATCCAGCCTCAAACTTCACATTATGATTCCGGATTTAAAGATGTCTTTCCAGTTTTAGAGGGTTTTTCTTACGGGAAAAGTGGAAAAGGGAAGAGAGAAAATGACATTGAAATTATTTGCCCCTGTACATTTTGAATGGACCGCTCAAGCTTCTGGCCTCCAGTTGCGATTTATGCGCATGGTCATTTGAATGAGAATTTATTAGTGAACTGGTCTACGCTCTGGAAACAATCTGGCATGTGCACATTCTCTCATCGGTTTAAAAAAAAGCCTTGTTGGTGGGGAATGTTTTTTTTTATGTAGTTGGTAGCGGTGCGATCATAACCTATGAATTTTTAGTTGGTCGTGAACCAGCGAAGTGCAGTTCCCACCAAAGGAGTCTCCGTTGCTAGGAAACTTGCGCCTTCTCTTGGTGCAACTCGGGGTTTATATACCTTAAGCTTTACTGCGCATAAAATGAAAAGCTATGTAGGTTCCAAAATCTGAAGTCTGCGCTACTCTCTCAACATACCGCTCCGGACGCTTGTAATAACAGCGCCCCCTTGTGTCTGAAGAGATGCGTTTTAATTGAGCTTTAACAGAAGGATAAAATAATAATAGGGATTTCTCATTATGAGCCAAACGAAAAACTCTCAAGGGGCTATTTCCTGTCCCTCCCCAGATATAGATATCATTGGAGTAAATCTGGATGTTTCAGAAGAATATAACTGGCCGAAAGCTTGTTTGGGCTTTTTGTGTGTGTGTGGCCTGTCCATAAGGACAAAATTTGAAAAGAATAATAATTTTTGCTTCCCATAAAGAATTTTGTAAAGAGCAATTTTTCGGTGGAGAGCAGCGAGGGATTGGGCTGATTGGGACAACTTATGCTTCAGAACTTCTATAAGCCAATCAGAGCTATTTAATTATGAGGTGCTGATTTGGAAGAGGCGGAGCCAGGTCTTGTGGATATCTTAAAATCTTGGTGTTAATATGTGGGGATCATTAGTGACAGAATGATTAAGAAAAGAGGGGGGTGGGTGAATCTTGCAGCAATTAGGGATTTTAGAATACAAAGATGACAATACCCACAGATGTTTGAGATAATGAAAAGAAAATAAAAGCACCAAATGTTAGACACAATATGAACAGGCTTTTTGTTTTATTCCACCAAGTTATCGCCTTGGAAAAATGTTTTCAGAATCTTGAGATACAAAACCATTTCTCAAGAATCAAACAAGATGTTATATAACTGTGTTTTACTACCTTTCCAATCAATGCTCCTTTCCTTGAGAATAGAAAAACACAATAATTACTTTAGCCATCGATTGTCTGCATAAGGAACTGAGTCTGGCACCTGACCACGATCCAGCCTCGAACTCGACATTATAATGCAATATTCTAATCGTACACTTCAGTTATCAGACTCGGTTTTCGTAGATTGTAAGGGTTGTGTGTGTCTCCTGGATTCTACAAAATTGTTTAACTTCAGTAATACCAAGCCTTTATAAAAATTAAAGTATTAACATTACTTAAAAGTACTTAGTCGATGTTGATATGAATCATTTCAATGCGTTTCATTTTGTTGTTTGAGGGGCATTCCGCCAGTTCAATATTTCAAAAAGGCAAGGTCATTCGAGAACAAACCTCGAGCGCCTGTCGGCATACGGCCGCGCTGTTTGGGCAGACCTGGCACGTGCGTATTGCTGTTCCAAAATGACCTTACAAGCGCTTCCTTTCGGGCATGCGCTTTTCACCGTACCAAAATGGCTCAAACGTGCTTGCATGCAGAGTTATTGAAATTACTTGATTTCGGATTGATAATGCCAGTTGGTCATAGGCTTTCATTAGTCAGTTCCTCACGAGTATAAAGGAATGAGCAAAGTTTCTTTTTGATCAGTTTTTAACATGACAAAGTGAATCAATTAGCAGTTGGGCTAAGACCTTTATGAAGAAATAGACAATTAAAGGTTAACTTCCAGAAACTGTGTGAAACATAATGGAATGTCACAGTCAAAAAACCCCCAGATGAATTAGGAATGTAGTTTAAGGGGAGATATCAGAAACACACCTATTTAGGAGCAACCAGGGAGTCTACAAAGGTTTTATATTTTCAGTAAGCTTTGAACTTTTAATTCAGTGGTCCGACCAAAAAATCACACGATGACTTGAGTCTCCATTCTTTTTATTTCACTCCTGTAGTAAGTCCTACGCGTCCCATTCCTCATCATGAGGGTGAACAATGCATTAAAAGGAAGCATTAAAGAAATTTGAGAAATTATTCAGTTAGCTTTTCCCCCTTAATTTTATACCAAATCGAAGACTGCAGATTGAACTACGTATTTATTTCAAGAATTTTGAAGGAAATTTACTGGGAGGAATATCAAAACAGCGTAATTTGGAATTTGTCTTTCTAGCTGTGTAGGATCTGTTCTATTCTTGTTACATGTTTACTTCAGATACCATAGGCAAGTAGAGTTGCCTATGATGTTTAAAAAGCAGCTTTGATCAAAAGCAACGTGGCAGACACCACGGCGTAGTTGACCCGACGAGTGGTGGCGCTGTTGCAAAGAGCCGAGGTGCAACAGCAGGTTGTTGTGTCTACTCCTGAAATAGAAGTGGTCTTACAGCTGTTCGGCCCACCGGTCAACGCGCCAAGGCAGCCAATAGAGACAGTACATTGGCGCTGCACAAAGTTTCCAACTTTGATTTTCTGTAAGGATAGAAAAAACGTTGAAACTGTTTGTCTGCTTATGGTAACTTATGTTGTGCTTAAATATTGCTCACATGTTTAATTTGAATAAATCAGAAAAATAAACATCACACTTGACTTATTTCACGGTAATATTGTCTTCATCTAAATGTTCTTGGATTGATCCAGTGATATGGACTGAGCAGTAAGTGCTAAATTGTGATCTGATAGCGGAACAGCACCGTAGACTAGATTGAGAGTGGCGTGCTTCCAAGCTCCCCCTTTATTTTAGTAATCGACTGAAAACATTAAAGTTAGCTTAAGCACTAATTTGTAATTATTCATAAGGGTAGGCAGGTACCAATATTTGTCATAAATGTGAATTATGTTGCTCTCTTTTTTTTGTCTCAGCTTCAATGAAAATGAAGTGTTAATCTCGCATTTAACTTACAATAAGGCTGACCCACGAATTTTGTACCATAAATGTGGAGTGCCACTTGTTAACATTGCCAACGGTCGAGTAACGAGGCAAGATAACAGCCAGTAAAATAGCATGAGATCGAGTTTGATTGTTGTACGGGGCTGATATGTATTCACGACACGAGCGTTAAATTCATAACATGTATAAAAATACTAAAGGACGTAAATATGTTTCCGGTGGCGTGAGTTTCTCGTCCTTCCTGGCATTAATCCAACTAGAGCAGAAACTAGAGGTCGCATTTTTTCCTAAACGATGGCTCTTTTGGTGGGAACTGCTCGTTCACAAATGATTATCAATTGCATTCAAAATGGCGTTTAATCGATGGGGGATGTTTCTTCACAACTTAAGTCGAATGAGCAAGAAAAAATCCAGTCGTAATGGCAATCTGTGTCAGGCTGAAATACTTTTTTGCCCAGGTGTAAAATGTAAGCTTACGTACCAGGCATGCGTCGTTTACAGACCCGCAATCTGTGTTGTTTGCCTGAGCTTTGTTGAATGGGTCATTGCATGTTCCGATATCACACTCGTAGCAATTCAGAGCAAGGCTCACACCTGATCGAAGGCAGTTTGAAAACGGTGTCCTTAAATTTCAGGTAAGCTAACCATTTGATACATATTACAATGTCCTTGCAATTTTTATTTCCAAGTTAGTTATCAATACGGGTGACTCACTATACAGCGCGCCACAAGGAGGTTCCCGCAGACAGGTTACTCACAAGTTTACGAATATAGCACTGCTGCGATTAACGACACCTCCCACGTAATTTGGGAATATTGGTTACGGCATTCCCAGCATCACATAAAACCGTCACTGTGACTACCTAATACCCATTCGCACTGAGCAAATTTCAGGCTTTTCAACCAAGGTAAACCAACACTTTAGTTCAAAAATTCAGGTTTCCTCCGAGCAGTGCAGTTAGCGAATGAGACTTTGTCGACTATTTATCCCATAATGCAGTGCGTAAAAGCCTCTCTATGACAATATCTTGGTGGCGCATTGCAGTGTGAATATCCCGTATTGAAAATACATAAACTCAAACAAAAGCCTCTATAACCACTGCTTATTGGAAGACTTTGACCATGCCCAAAATGGGTTTCCAGATCTACAGCCACATCTGTGGGCCTTGAGTTGAACCAGGAGAGGACGGTCCGTTTCCTAGCAACGGAGGCCATTCGATCGGAGCTGAACTTCACTGGTCCTAGCACGACAAAGAAATGCACGCGCCACGGTCACGTTTTATCGCTTCCAACTGATCGAACACTCCTGAGTAACGCGGCTCTTTTCAACCGATGAGGGGGTGCTTCTCCTCGAGGTGGCTTGTCAGCCTGTCCCTGTGTATGGAACAAAGAACTAGTCCCAGATGTATCGTGGACAAGTCTGCAGCTTTTATGCTGCTCTCTGTCAGCAAACGCACCGGTTCGTCGTGACCGTTCTACTTATGTTTCGATTACGCTCAAGCAAAAGCATGGGTTAAGTACGGCAATGACGCAAACAATAGTGAGATGGTCGGTGTGGGTCTGTGAGTATGTTTGTACTCTCTTGGAATCTTGAATTATTATACGAGGCTGGTAACACTAATTTGCAGGTCAAGGAGTTGTTGATCTTAAAGAGTATAAGCCGACGTTTTGGATGCTTTGGATCAGTAGGTATAATCAAGGAGGAAAATGGACAGTATTGTTATATTATTTCGCAAGTTCGTTAACTCGATATAATATTTTCTCCTATTCGCTCCTGTAAGATCTATAAGTAATGTTCCTATTTTTGAAAACTTTTTTTTTTACGAGACACTTTTTGCCAAGTTCATTTTTCGAAAACCTAAATCCCCTGAAAATAAAAAAAATATATCTCGTACAAACAATTGTTTCCAAACATAGAAACAATGTTTCCCAATATAGATCTCATTAGAACGAACTGGGGAAATCATGTCTAGAAAAAACGAACTTTGGAAAAAAATATACCTCGTACAAACAAAGTCTGAAAAAAAATCCCCTATAAACGAACTTCGAAAAAATTCTACTTCATTTTTGAAAATATATACCTGATGGCACTACAGGGCTTCCGTACCTACCACCAATGTGTTGACTTGACATCAACATAACGTAATGCAAGCTAATGCCAACAAAGCTGTTTCCTTTTATATGTTTTCATTGCGAAATGTAGCAGCTGTCGATATTGACAACTTCATTGCCAGTGTTATTAGTCACAGGCATCTGCTCTTTCAGTGACCAGGTAGAATTTAATTGGCAGGGAATTTTCAAAGGAAACTGCTCAACTGATTCTGTGGTAAAGGCATCGATGCATGAATGTTTGTATGGCACAACACCTGAACTGGATCAGTGCTGAATCATTTACCCCATTACCAGTCTACTTTTTCAAAAAACGAAGCCTTTTAGTGTGTGAAATTGGCTGCACAAGGTCGTAAAATGAAATTAAGTGCAGACTGTCTAGATCACAACCTTAGGCAAATGGAAATTTTAACCACGTAACAATTGAATTCACACAAGGGCAAAAACACAGCTGAAGGCAAAAAACGAACTAATGGATCGAAAATTGAAAAAAAATTTGGTAGAATGAACCAACTTACAAAAAAGGCACACATAATTTCGAATGCCAAAGTTCGGAAGAAAAAATCTAAATAAATGACGCCGCCGGCAATATAAAAACCGCAAACCTGCAACATTCGGCATGTATTCATGTTAGGAATAACTCACGTCATTTAACCAAACTCACACGGAACAGTCTAGGGACTGTTGAATGTGTTTTTCGTTTCTAACCATAAATGTCCACCATCCTTTCACCTAGTCCCTACCGCCTGGGTTCGATTTCCAACCCGTTCCATATTGCGGTGGGTCTCGCCCAGCTATTCTGGTTATCAAGAATGTTTCTTCCACCTCTAAAACTGAAACTGTCTCCCCTCCACAGGTTTCTTCAGTTTGGTAAGAGGACACGTAAATCACAATAATCATTACTTACCCAGGCAAACAAGAAAAGAGATGGTTGCCAAACTCCACTTCATGGCCGCAGGACTGAGTTTTTGTAACGGTATAATCTTGAAAAAGTACAGAAAATGATCAACCCAGTTTTGATTATCAACATCATGCACAAAATATGCCGCACCCATTAGTGTAGAATTATGCACGCATGATGACGCTGTAATCGATCTAGAGGAATTTGTCATATGCCATACGGAAACGTGCTTGCATTTGGACCACAATAAAATTATTGCTAATTATTTGAAATTCTCACCTAAACGTTTCACCGTTTGTGGTATCTCAAGACACGACTGGCACTGCTCAATCACTCTCGGGAAGCGCCCTATTAGTCCCAAACGCAAACGCTGACACATATGGCATAAACACCTATGATTTGAATGCTTTTATCACTTGATGCGGTTTAGCATTGTCAAGGATGAATATTAATGAGGCTATTCTACGTCATTCAAGAGTGTTTATGGAGCTGGTGGAAGGGCCATGTGTATACGACTGTCTGTGTGTCTGTTCCACTCTTTAGAAGAGGGGTGTGCAAAATCATTTTAAACGGAAAGTCCCATTTAAGACGAAATTTCTTGAAATTTTCTAAATTATTATTTTCAGCTTCTGTTTTAACTCATGTACGTACACGAGTTTTTTGTCTCTAAATGATCCTATAAAAGACTTTCTCAGTTTTGCTTCGTAATCGTCAAAGGAATCCTGACCTTGAACTCGAGTACAGAATGCACCCACCATTTGTTTACTGCATTTTCATTGACGCCCTTTGCCCGTAGTACGTGCATATTATGCGGGTTAAATGTACAAATAGATTGAAGTACAAGGTTAGCATTCATAAATAATGCCTATGTTTTGTCTAATAGATATGAATTTTACGATAGTCTGGATTCTGTTTCATTCATGCATTTTTTTGCTTGATAATCCGTATGAGTGCAGCCTGAGCGTTTGAAGGTATGCCCCTTCCACATCGATCGCCATTCACAGCATTGCTAATATGTTTTTCCAAGCTTGCTGAACCGTCCGAGTCGGTGGACTCTGTAAGCACTTTCTGATATACCTGCCAACAGACCGTATGTATTACACCTACTTTATTTTCTTGTGCAGGTTTGATTTTGTTCCTTGGATAACAGTTTGTCATCAGTAGATGCTGACGTGTCTGAATTAGGCTTCGCGTAATCCTGCCTCCTTGATAATGAGCGTGGGGAGTTACACAATACACTCAATAGAATACGACGCCATATCAAGAAATGTAAGTATTTCCGGATGCAGCCTAAATAGTCTTAATTAATTATTATTAGACAATCTCTCATGGTAGAGACGGCTAACCAGTTTACTGCGACCTCCTACCCAGAGGTTGTGCAGAGAGACAAACTAACAGTCAAGAGCAAGACCATCTCAGGCAGGTCAAATATGACCGCAAAAGGGTGATGTATGACCCGAAAAGGGGTCATATTTTGACCCAGAAAATGGTTATACGTACCGAATGGGACCCGATTCTGGATCAATATGACCCGGAACTTTTTAGAGTGCAGTTCCTCGGGCGCATTAACCAGACCTTACCTCCTTTGGATCAATTTTATACGGGGAATTTTCAATCTATTTCAGAGAATAGCATTTCTATTTTCCATCCAAATTATAAAATGAACTTGCTATTGTTCTCGAATTTGTAGACGATATTGAAAAACAGAACAAACATTTCAGACACTGTTGGCTTAGGAAAGAAAACAAACAATTCAGGAATATCATAAAAGCGCCTACTTAGGAGCCACTGTAGGGATTCTACAGTCGGGGAATATATCTTTACGCTTTGAAGTTTTAGCATCACAGTTAGAGCGTGGCTATTTTGCTGCACAGGCCTCGCTTATAAGCAGCGGTGGGTAGTCGGATCAGGTGTCAACGCTGCCAGTAGACTTAAAATCAAGTCGGTAGTCGGTCGTGTTTGTCATCCAGAACAACCGATATGAGCCAGCATGCTGAGTGCTGAGCTGACTGTTCGCCGTTGCCCGCAATCCAGCGCGCCCCGCTGATTCAGCCTGGATACGACCCTTAGTCGAGGGCTGTTCAGTACTGGGTTTCGACGTACGTCGACCCACGACCTAGTCTTGGTTCCAAGACGTTCCAGTTGGTCCATCACACGTACTGTACATACATGTATGTACACATACATATATAGAGCGCTATCACTTCACGAATCGTTATCACAGGAAGGTCTTGGATATTTTGTAAGGTTTTGGGCGGCAACAGATATGGTAATAAAGGTAGGATTTGCATTATTCATATCACTTGACGTATAATCGGTGCAAGTTACGCAAATGCCTTTCAACATATGCTTTATGTTCAAAAGCTACGTTTTCTTATTTAAACATATGCCAACATCAGAGTGAACACGTTTATGAATGTTCACAGCTGTAAGTACTCGCCAAATATGCTTCTATATCCCGGGGCAGCAGCCAAAAAGTTGCCATGAGCGCGCATTATAACAAAAGAAATTTAGTTTTTTTCAATTTTTGGCATGTCCCATCACGGCAGGTCACGATGCACGATGTCCCTGCTCGCTTTAGCACTGCAAATTTGGTCCATTTTTTCCCAAACCTGGAAATTTATAGGGTAACGGATCAACTAATAGCTGAATATGTAAAGTTGTTATAAAAAATAAACTCTTGGCGCATCTTAAAGGCATGTTACAACCACCTCAAGATGGCATTTTCTGCAGATATTGTCGGACCTAGAGATCTTGACGCCATTTATGTTTTCAATTTTTGGTTGAGAGACGTCATGAATTTATATGAATAATTCAATATAAGGCTCAAACGAAGCTGTTGCTTGGCTCCCTTGGAACGTCGAGGGAAAACAATGAAAATCATAAGAAATGAAAACAAAATATTCAAGATCTCACTGCGATAACGATTCGTGTGGTGATAGCGCCCTCTAACAGCGTACGTTTGTGGTTTGTGTCGAGGTATAACTACTGGAAGGTCTTGAAACCAAGACTACTGTCAACGACCCCACTGTGCCCGTCGAACGACTTGATCAACCTGATTTTGGAAGGATATATCATGCATGCAACAACTATACTGCATATTCATATGTTTCTACGGAGAGGGCCAATAGTAGCTCACCTACAAAATAGAATCATCCATTTTAAATATAGGGATGCCAATATTTGATTTGTGCCAGTTTCTTTCATATCTTGTATTTATATCCCTTTTAATGTGATTCTTAAAGACAAATTATACATAACTGGTTCAAGAACAAATCTATTAACTATCTTTTACCGATGCTTTTATGGTAAATCTTCTTTCTAGAATAATGTAAACACCCTCTTCAATGAACGAGACAGTGGTCGTTGTTGATATACGCTCAACTGACTTTTTATACACCAACATGCCCCATAAACAAATGTTTATGTAATCGGTCCGTCTAATGTTGGTAGCAAGCCCAGTATGATATGTATACATATGCATATGAAATAAGCCATGTAGGAGATAAAAGTAGGGTCATACTTTGGTTATCCCAAAGAAAAGAAATTGTGTGATTTTTATCCAAAAGCATAACTGGTATAAAGATGGTAATAGTAGTAATCACCCTGTGTGTGAAATTATTTCGTCTGAAATGTCCCCGTGGATTAGAGATCAATAAAAGCATGTCGAAAAATTCGACTCTCCAAAGGTCACCTGCAGGCGACTTTTGGAAATTTTTGTAGTGGCTGTTTGAATGCAGCCCTCATGCGGTGAAAATCTGCCAGCTGACAGAGCCGATTTGTAACCGGGGCGTCCGTGAATGGGTAAATTTGCATGGACCTTCATTATAAATGAGTTTTCTTATTACTTTTAGGTCCATTTACATCGTAGTTCCCTTTACGTTACTCGGACATTTTTTGCTTCATGTGATGTGTGGCTTCCCTTCAAGGCTTGTGTCTCACATGTCCATTTTGTTTCATATTCCATCGCCTTGAAGTGCAGACAACTCTCTGAAAGAGTTAACGTATAAGTCACAGGGAGCCCACCAAAGAATAGCGGATTACACGACACTATATTTCATCATAAAGTCTTTTTCAAGACTTGATTTCGTCTGAAATTTGTCCTTGATATTGAAACCACTGCGGCCTATGCTAGAACGTATAAAAACAAACAGCAGAATGCAATCGATTGGTCGAAAGCATGTGCTTTAATGTTCCAGTGGCAGTACAGGATGATGTACATGTCTTGTTCCTGAGCAAGCAACTTAGTTTGTCAAGCTCTGACCATCACACTGGTCAATTGTGTCTGCTGCCATCTTCCGTCTAAAACACGCCATTCAGGGGAGGATGGGCCCAAGCAGCCATTTTCAGCGCATTTTTTCCTTATCATTTACCTCGCCATAGACATCTACAGAAAACAATGTATCAACGTTCCCCATCTACTCAATAAATTGTAAGGAATTTGAAGTGTGTTGCATTGTAATTTATGGACCCTGACTCTAATTATCGTCACGAGCATGATGGTTTGATCTTTCTCCGCAAAAAGAAGTGTTATTGGCACTCTCTCTATATATACGTTCAAATCCCTTGAGATGTGTTGAGTCTTCAAGTTATTTGACTTACGTTAATGAGATTGAATGGATGAATAATTTTGTTCATGGAATGGAGCTTGTAGGTCTTTGTAAAATTTGCCCCTGTATGTGTAACCAAGACTCTTATTGGTATCCAAACAAACAGGAAGAGTTGGCAAAGAATCAGCTTAAGACTTGTTCATGCCATGGATCGAGGAAGGGCTCATATGGTGTAACCTCTCAGTGAAGCTCTCATCAGCTTTAAGTTCATGGACAGGTTACCAACAGCCAGCCCCTGGGAGATTTATTTATACAATGTTGCAAGTCTGTGTGCGTTTGCAATGCAGCAAACTTGAAGGTAAACAAATGCTCCATGTTAATCAACTTGATTATTTTATCGATCAGGAATGATTGAATTCCTTTATGAATAAATTATGGTTTATTGAATAATGAAGTATCTTTATCGTGTACATAAATGTATATTTTCATGTTGATAGAGCTTTTCTATGCCGTAGTATTTTTATAAATAACTCTTTTGAAGTGAACAATTATCAACAAAAATGAGACAATTAGCTGAAGGACCCCACTGTCAAGCGATTTTAACTCCAACTAATGAAATCAAGAATGGAATATCTATTCAAGCATGTACGGATCGACTCAAAAGGCAGAAACCAGACTGAATCGCAACGGCACCCAAACCAACGGGAAAATAACACAACCTCACTCAAACTAAACCAGATCAAACCAGAATCAAGAAACCCAATACAACTTCGCCGTACTCCTGCATTACCAAAAATGAACAGCGCTGGCATGAATGAACAGCGCAGTACATGTGCCGACTCCAATAAGAAGAAACAGCACACGAGTCATCTACTGCTTTAGATGATCGTGACTGGTATAAATAATGTCAGTGAGGTCAACCGCAAGGGCAAACAAAGTATGCAACTGGCTCCCACGCTAAGGAAGCCGTTAACCTACTGCCCCATACCTGACCTCGGCTTCAGTGTATGCTGGGTGCAGAAATTCAGAATGTCTGCTGAACTTTAGTCAGGCTTTCAAAGAGCAACTGAGTTGAAAGCGATTTTTCTTTCAGGTCCAATCTCACGTTTAAAAACGTGCGAAGAGGACAAAGTTAATACAGTTGCCATTCCTCGAGCAACAAGTGTAAAAGAATCTCCTCGATGCACAAATTTAAAACTCTTGAACAATTGGAATTATGTCACGTAGGGTTTTAATTAACCTTTTTTTAACGAAATGTTACGAAACCAAGAACAATAAATAATTTGCTACATTATAGAATTAATAATACACAAAATAGTGAAAGTCTAACTCTCAAAGATCCCTCTTTTACGGTAGGTATCTCCGTATGTAGAGCTGTTCTATGGGTTTCTCCCAGCCTGGGCGCCAAGTACCCAACCCCATCATGCACAAACAAGCCTTAGGACAAATTTTAATGCCACTGAGTATGGCTGTGGTAGAGAAATGATTGAATTTTATTTCACAGGATTTTATAGTTGTGACACAGTGAGCAGGGCACACCATGATCTGCGCTCTCTGCTGAGGCCTATAAATACATTAAGCAGCGCCGTAGTAGTTTGGAGTTCCAGGAGGGTAAAATGGATTTTTTTTTCAAATAACTGTGTGGTCCATTTTTCCGTTCGTATACATGCATAATCCTCGAGGCCGAGCCTTTCACTTAAGTTGGTGGCGATGGTTTGAAGCAAATCCAGTTATAATAATAAATAAACAAATAAACAGAATGATGTTTGTTACCGTGGGAGCAGAAAAAAAAGTAATTAATCAGACAAAGTGGGACTGTGTCTTTTAATTTTCTATCTACCGAGACAGTGCTTGCCTGTGGGCCAAGCTACATCGAACACAACGTGCGATACTGCTTGTACGCGTGCAATCCTACGATGTAAGTACATAATGTACTGTACAAATTAGGCGTTCTACTGATGACGTTATCAAATCAGCCTTGCAGCGCGAACAGCCTACAAGGGATTTCTTTGTGGGTGGGGAAACACAGGACCTTTTTAATGAATTTGGGGTCATTTTGGGATGATTTGCCATAAAATCATTGATCCTCTTACCAGAAAAAGATAGTTAATAGATTTGTTCTTGAAAAGCGTTTATTTTGTGGCATAAAGGTCATTCGTGCTTTTTGTATGAGTTCATGCTCAGTGGCAAGCGATGAAAAGGCTAAAATGGAGTCAGACAGATCAGGGGCACATGACCCACCACACAAATCCCAAGACCGTGCACAAACGTGTCGAGGTCCGTCTACTGTGCGGCGCTCATACGTGTACATGTACAGCACGGTCTGCGTGTACATGTACATGTACATGTACATGCACAGTACATTGTACATGAACGTACATGTATACTGAACATGTACATGCACTACTACGGAAAAATGATTCTTGTGCAAGTTATTTAATTCGCAATAACTTTAAATACAACCGATGTTGTTATCGGATCTCAATACGCAGGTCAATTATTTCGTTTGTTTGGATAGTTTGGAGTTGTTTTAAAATGGGAAAGACCCTGGACGTATTGTCTTTTAAATCTGATCGTGTTTATTTTTGAGGAAAATCACTTTTTCAGAATTTGTTTCACATTTTGTGCAACTCCGTTCAGTATAATACAGTGGTTCAATGTTTTCTGATCAGTTTTTAGTTTTCTGGTTATCTGTGAACTTTATTCGTTTGTTTTTTGTTAAAATAAATAATGGCCTCCATCCTAGGAGAGAAGTGTTAATTGGAACGATGTCTGACGTCGCCTGCCTCGAAATGAGGCCTTGTTTAGTGTACAATTATTGAATTTATACTGTATAATTGGGAAAATCGTGTTTTTTGCTGTTTGGGCGAAACCTCTTTCTAAATTGAACGGAGGAAACCCACTATCATTTCACATTTTGGTAATATGATTTAAGCCTTGTTTCTGTGGACGGAAAATGTGAGGCTGCGGATTTATTAGGGGGAAATTGTGTGTATAATGTAGTGACACAGTATTCGGTAATTCTGCCTTATGTGATATTGACAGAGCGGCTATTGGATCAGTTCCCCCGATTGTGATTTTGGCCTGAGTTCGATGAATCCTGGCCTAAACCATTACCTACTCGCCCAAGAAACAAAGCCCGGGGACCTCCATCTAATGTTCCTGTGGTCCAGGGGATGCTCCCTGATCATCTTCATAATGATCCTGAGATAATTAACAACAATATCCTACTCTGATGTCCTACGCTATCCGAGGATAACGTCAACTCAAGATAAATTTCTTGGGAAGCTGTCATCTTCAAGATGTTGTCATCTTGTCTTTTTTTGACGATGATGGGACAAGAGAATGTGCAATTATCCTAGCAACGAAAGCCCCTTTGGTCGAAGGCCCCGTTGGTGCACAAACTACCGTCAATTTACACGCTACGGGCAAAATGAACTCTTCAACGTTGCTCTTTTCAACCGATGACGGGTATGCTCAAGGCAGATTATCTTACGATCTTCGCCCTTCATGAATTAGGAGGTCCTCACTCTCCCTGTAATATGTTGTCATCCTGAGATAAAATTTGTCAGGATCTTAGCCAGTCGGTGGGCACTTCCGGAGCTCCGTAAATTTTACTATGTTAATGTGTTGAAAGGGTACCGCCCCACTCACGTGGTCTTGTTTGCCCAGTCAGAGGCAGTGAACTGCCATAATTGATGCTGCATTGCAGGTGATTGCAATAGTGTATATGCTATCCATCTAAACAGAAGCCAACCTGTCGCTCAGGTAAGATGTTTCGGGTTTTTTTACAAATAATTACACAAAAACACTCCTTGTGCAGTAATCTGTCGTGAGCCAACTCGGCTCGCTTATCTTCCATTTCTTAAGATTGAGAATTACAATGCAACGCGGACTAGTACAGTGTATTTTTAAATGCAATGCATGGAGACACCGCGAGTGACTAATGCAGCACACACCAAATTAGGTCTCATTGGCAGCACTGCAGAACTGATATTCCATTTTTGTGGCACACATCTCACTTGCACCTGAATTGTCACAGCAGACGTGAAATTTGTTCTGCAGCCCAGCCAAAGACGTGTACCAGGGCGATATTAGGCTTAATAAAGAAATTAGGGCGTTGGCCAATGATACGAAAACGTTGGAAGAACTTGTAATAATTAATACTTACGTCATTACTAGATTTAGCTCCATGGGTCAAAATGCGTCACTCGGTATTGTGAAGTAATGTCTACAGGGCCAACATGCTAGGGTCCTAATGGCCAGCAAGTTCATACGCCCGTTTCACAATGTGCACGTCCCTGTAATTTAGCTTAGCCCAGATATGCGAAGCACAATGACCAAGAGGCTATATTATTTACGGAAATCTTGGTTCTGCTGCTGAAAATATTTAATACTAACAGAAGAAGCTGTAAATTGCGCAAAATGTGGCCGTTTGGGATATCTTAATTCATGACCGTGGAGGAATTAAACACTGGCATTGAAATTGAAGAACATTTTCTTGATTTAACCCCCGAAATGCCTCACCAATGGCTTTACAAAACTGTGCACAAAACATGGTCTGTTTATTCATTTATGTTTATTTCCTAGCGGGCCTACCTTCATTGTCAGCCAGAAATAAGCGTCTGTTTTGCCATATCCCGGTATGTCGTCGGTGTTTTTACGAATTAAAAAAAACACAACCAAAAAAGCATAATCAATAATAATTTTTCCTGCCATATTTCGTCCTCTGATCCAAAGACCAAATTAGCAGAGTTTCAAGGCAAATGTTTGCCTAGTGACTGTAAACCAGCAACTAACAAAAAGCTTGGATTCAGTGATTTTCTTTTTTCACGAAGTGAAAAGGCTACATGGTTAGCAGGGCACAAATTAAACACAGTACCGGCACGAGTCTGTGCGTCTACACATATACATGTTGTGCACCAACAATTGCGCTGTGTGGATGGTAACATAATATGACAATGTTCTCAAGCGTGTGAAAATGAAGACTTCCTGGTTTTCCTGTTTTCACGAAGTGAAAAATACTTAACGAATTACTGAAAAACAATATACCCACAACTAAGTATGGATTTTGATTTTTTTAAATCAAAAATTTATTTCATAACCTTTTAAGAAATTCTTCAATCTGGATGCTGGATGGACATCATGTCGATGGTGAATATTTTTCTGTGAAATAGGTATCCCGGATATAATTTATCCGGTGCTAGGTTTGCTAGGGTTAGCAATAGGGCAGGGTTATGCGCCATATTTGTGAAAAATCAGTGTTTCCGGCATAAAAAAGTCAGTTTTACCTGAAAACAAATAATTTTGTCACGCCTTTTCGACTAAAACAGCATGCCTGCTGAGTGCAACTGCGAAAAAGAGCAGGTTGTACGTATATGTACGGATACTTGTCAGTACATGTTATCAAGTTGTTATTCAAAACGCAACCTCGCGCTAAAATAGTAATAAAATTAAAAAAACATAATTTGATTGCTGAATCTGCTCGTATATTTTGTTCCAGTGCAGAAATAAGGACGAATTCAAGGCTCTAGTATACTTTTGCTCTTTGCTTTTTTCCTCAATGCCACTCAAAATCCAGCACTTTGTTTTCTGAAAGTAAAGAAGATACATCCCATCATCTCAGGTTTAGCGGTCTTTATGCAGATTGGCTCCCCAGTACCCGCCTCCCTTTCCACATTACATGAAGTACTTTGTCTCCTTTGCCTAAAGTTTCCCGTCGTATAACGACGCGCGGCTCCACGTGTTATGTCATATACTGTTCCTTTAGAAACAGCGTAATTTGAGTTAGTAAACATACCAAATAATTAGGGCAAATAGTGACATCGATCATAAGGTGCAAATGATCACTGCATCATATCGAGACAAAAAGTGTCAGCTACAACATAAATAACATTTCGAAAACTAACTCATCGAAATGGAAATGCCAGGGACAAGACAAAAATAGGAACATCAAGTTGAGTCGGTTTGCCTGTTGCTGAGCCTTGTACGTACTGAGTCGATTTTGGGGTTGGCTAAGTGAGCTACACGCTACAATGATACGTTCTGCCCCTAACCCGTCGTTGGCTTCTGGATCTATTATTACAATTGACCCGCCGATCCGCGCCGTGTCTTGTGTGAATACATGCACATGTACGTGTACACGTATACATGCATGTGCCACACAGAGCACATGACATTGGTGTACAGACGTACGTGTACTGTATGTCCATGTGTAGTACAGTACGTGTACTTGCGCATACTGGTACAAACTCACAGAGACCAGTAATAAACTCTAATTTATGTGCGCCTGCGCATCAATATACCGTAACTGGGGGAGGGTTCGTCCGTCTGCATCCCCGCACACGCGACTAAATAAGGTCAGCTTTTGAGACAAGAATAGATGATGAGCTATAGTAGAACATTTTGCGTCCCCCCAAAATAAATAAATAAATAAATAAATAATTAACTGTCGCGCACTTCGGTATTTGTTTGCCTCGGTATATCCCCTCTTCGGGAGTTTCCTTGTCACCCCCTAAGCAAATTGGTACGACCTTGTGAATGCTTTTTTTTTTTTTTTTTCGAACTAAAAAAGCAAAGATTTATGGTTGTCCGCTTTGTTATGGATTCGCACCCCCCTTTACATACACACACAAGTGTGTATTTGCCTGCAACTGGGGACCCCCTATTGTTCCTCTTTTGTTTGTTTTGTTTACGAGGCCACCCATATGTTTTGTACACAGTTGTCAATCGGGGACCCTCTGTCAATCGGGGACCTCATTGTCCTCTATTGTTCAGGGTCCCCAACTGAATGCAGAAACAAACTCACACACACACAAAAATTCCTAGTTACGGGCCTGCACTTCAATTGCATTATTCCTAGGTCCGCTATTAAAACTGCCATGCTGTCACCGCTAGATGGCGTACAGAGTCACAGCACACAACGCGGCTGGCGTGTACGTAAATACAGGTGGACGTACACTACGTGTACATGACAGATGCCGCGTACTGTACAATGCACTCTCAATGCACATGTACGTGACCATTGTCGCTCCGTTGATGTCTTGTATACAAAGTGAAAGATGAAGCTGAGGTTTTTGCCTCTGCATACTGTCAATGGGCCGCTTAAGCATGCTGCCTACTCTGGCTACAGAAGAGAAAAAAAATAATCGGTAAAACCGATCATCAAATCTACCCCCCCCCCCTTATTTTCTCAACACAACCTCAGAACTTTGGAGAACGTCTGGAAGAAAAATCAGATAATTGTTTTAGGCCTTAATTTTTGGGGGAAAACTTTATCAAACCGAAAACATATTTCTCTCCATTAAAAAGGCATTGGAAAAAAACTGGTCCTTGTGCAGTACGTCGGCCCGCTAATTACTGTTTTGTACCTTTCTTCAGTGTATGAAGACTGTGTGACATTATGTTTGAGTTAGGTAGACTGAACAGGAAGATATTATTCTGTTTGCATGTTTTCATATTCAAATTGTGAACTACAAAAATGGCTACTTGAAAACATTTCTGAGGAAAGGTTGATCGCTGGCTTGTTATCATACACTTACACAATAATACATTTCCAAAGCAAATTGAATTTATGGTTTGTGCGCAAATCAGTGCAACAATGAAGTTCAGTGCCTTTGACCGCAGATCATTTTGCTCATGAATATGCAAATGTGAATGTCATAAACACTAAAAAATTTCAAAATATGGAAAACAAAATTTAAAATCGGGTTAATTGAAACCCTGAGATGAAATAAGAAGGGTTTTAGTAATATTATGTAAAAGATTTTTATTTCATTGTCCTTTTCAAAACTACATGTGATTGCAATCTGCGAGGCGATGACTCGTTTGCAAGGTTTGTTAGAATTCATGACAAGTCGTTTCATACATATAGTCTTGTTCTTTCTTGAAAGCTCGGTCGAAATCTATTGGTGAGGATCTAGTTTAAGATTAGTAACATTAATGGAAATGGTGGATTAGAAACTTGGTCTATTCGGTTTAAAGGACAAAAGGAAAACTATATGGGCGCCTCTCTGTTATTTTGAAAGGCAGTAATGTCTGTAATTTGACGTAAAACTACACCAAAATTGCAATATTTGCCAAAAGCTTAAAAAGGTTTGAAGGAAAATTGCAGAAGTCATATTTCGGATGAAGTAGAAACATGTTTTATCAGTTCCTAGCGTATCAACGGAAAAATTGAAATTAAAATTTTAGAATTTGAATTAATAATTTTTTTTTTAGATTTAGATATTACAGATGTTATTTTGACCCAAATTATTTTGCACTGTAATTATACAGTATATGCAACTTCCGTATACTGGTCTTATTCTTGCATACATTGTCAACAGAGTCTGGTGTACAGCAACAACGTTTTTTGACCAACCATGAAGTGGGCTTTGGTGTTCGCTTGTGTACTTGTTTGCCTCGGTAAGATGCTACACTATGAACATCTAACAAGAGAAGTAGGGTGCAATAACAATGGACGCTCACTGTTAGTGCACTGCGTTTCTTTTGTTAGATGTTCGTAGTGATAATCCACAACAGTTTTATCATGAAATAAACCTGTTTATATTTCCTACGTAATATCTTGTACTTTTCAGTTCGTTCACGGAGCAGTCATGGCATTCACTAATGTGTCAAATTTCATTACCAACCCGTAATTTCCAACAGACCCATTTATAGCATTCGTGATTAAAATGTTAAAAATCTTGGTTGAGAATAATATGCCATTGGGGAAAAAAACCGTTTCCATAACTTGTCTGTGATTGTGTCTATTTCTATCCAGTTGGTAGAAATGCAGCGTTGAAGTGCTATCAGTGCAACCTTGGCAACAGCGCTTGCAAAGACCCATTTGACAAAGACGCAAATAACAACCTGCTTCAAGAGTGCCAATTTGCTTTGGGTTTATCTGGTGCTTGTTGGGTGAGTACCCTCACTTTGAAATAGAGCGGTTAGGCTAGGGATAAGATTCTTAGTTGCTAGTTACAAAACGACCACAGAAACAATAAGCTAACTAATCATTCAAACTTTGTGACAGTTTCCCTGAAAGAATATTCAATTTATGGCAGTTATTCCCTGCCCGTTTCATTTTTAAAACCAATAATTTGAGGCAAAGTTTATTCGATTTCATTGATTTCGTCTTCATATCCCCGTTTGAACATCCAAACGTTTCAGCTGACTTTCCTTTTTAAGCACGTATTCATCAAGTCGGTTGATTCAAAAGAAATGAAACCCTTTTATTCATTCAAATTCCAAGGATTCCAGTGGAACAAAACATTTGGGAGAACCCGCTTCCATTCAATTGTGTTTCTTTGGAATAGCGTACATAGTGCACAAAACAAGAAAACACCGCAAAGATTAAAAATCTCTGTATGTGATTTTAACTGCACTAGTCAGAAGGTTTCTTTTATGAGAAACGGCGATTTAAATCCCATAAATCAAATGACTGCTGATAGCAAACCGCGTGCTGGTTTGTATGGAAAATTAAAATGAACTCGAGAAATTTTTAAATTGACAGAAAACATGTATCGGCCTAACTTCATTAATGCATTCTGAGGAAATCGATTGTTTTTGTTGATAATTGCCAGACAACTGTGTTTATAAAGCGAACATTTTGTTTAATATGATGGCCGCATACGGTATCTCTATCCCTGAACCTTTCCAGCTGCACCTCCGCATACGAGGAGACACCCTCGCATTGATGAGCGTATTTAATTCCCGTGTTTACTGACACATTAAGTCCCAAGGTTTGGAAATATTTCCAAATTTGTTAATAGGTCTTCCGAAAACTATTCCACCAATTGGAAATTATCTGGATTTTACTTTCTTTTAGAAAATCAAAACCAATGACGTTGTCACACGTAGTTGTACTGCGAAGGCAACATGTGATGCCATCGGTGGTCTTAATGCTTGCGGTGACAATGCATCAGGTGCTAACGCGTGCTGCTGCACCACAGACGGATGCAACGGCGCTACGACAACCAGCATCAGCTATTTGGCCGTGACTGCTCTGCTCGTCCTGACAAAGGCCTTGCATTAACTGTCTTGGAGGCAGCTATCAAAGGCATAAGGACAGTTGATTTTTATTTAGATGTTCCCGTCAATAGTTATATCACGTGACACACCGGATGACTTATCAATGATTGCAAGTCCTTGAATTCCAGCGAGGGCCGGCCACTAAAGTTGTGTATTCCAAGTATGCTGGAAACTACTTGAAGTCTTCGATTACAAGTAAACTCGTGTCTGTGAAATATAGCAAGTCACTACGGCTTAGACTTATAAGTGTGCCTATGAAAGCCGCTTATACTTCTAAAAAGACAATTTAGAATGCCGAACAAGTTTCTATTTGATTTTCATTCATTCGCCATCAAATAGTTCACGTCATGAAATTCAATGCGGGCCGTTTTCCAATACTTGACTTTTGCTCCGTCTCAGGCTTCAATTTTTTTTTTTTTACTTCCTGACTTTGTGGTTGTAAGCGCAACAGTAAGTCTTATAGTGCCATAGAACATCAAGTAAGATGCAAAAGAACCAAACACCACAGTATTTTAATTTAAGTTAAACGCGTCACCCCCACAATCGAGGATTGGTTTCCTACACGAAGGTTTCCTACACGAAGCCTGAGACGGAGACGAAGTTGAGTATTGGAAAACGGCCACGGCGGTTTCACAATGGTGCGCCACCAAGAGTTTGCCTCACGGTGGCCAATTATAACGTGCAACAATTGTCTACCCTTTCCAAACGCGCATTCGGTCGACAAATTTCGCGCAAAGTGATTGGCCAACGCGTTGCAAACTATTGTTGGCGCACTATTGTGAAACGGCCGTATTGAATTTCATGACGTGAACTATAGTATATGTAGCTCGGACGAATCTTCAGTAATTATCTTTGATGGATTTACATGAAACTGAATAAAAGCCTTTTGGTATTTGAACCAGCTTCAAGGGATTGAGAAATGAAAGCTCATGAAGAACACGCTTTCATGGAGATATTGTAAATGATGATAAATTTTGTACCGAAGCTAAAACTACAGTTCAATTTCAACTCTTGAAAGGAGGCAGATAATAACACATTAATTTGATTTGCACCCTACATTGGTTCAATAACTATTGAAGAAAACCTCAGCCACTACCGTAGAAATCATAAGATCATGAGAAAACAATAAACGGATTAAAACCTGCGACACAAATTTAGATCATAAAAACGATTATAAAATGGTTTTGAGCCAATTTGCAGCGCGTCACTCTCGGACATCCAAACGTTATTGTCTGCGTTCTCTGTCTACATTGACTGAGGCAAGTCACACCATTTAGATGCCTTTTTCATATCGGTCATTACAACCCCGATTGTCTCTTTTGGGACAAATGTCACTCATTAAGTCTTCATGATGTGTACACTAAACATTGTAAAAAACTTAATGAATTGAAAGTCTTTGGATGTGTCCTATCCCCTCAGACGACACCTTTCAGTTCATTTAGAATCAAAATGCAATATGTTTGTGTGGCCTTTTTAATGAGAATATTGTTTTTATTTTAGAGTGTTCGAGGCTGGATAGTGGTCAGGTGCCACACTCTTTCCCTTGGGCTGGGTTAATGGAATAATTCCATTCAGAAATAGATATTTGTAGTTGATGTTGTATTTCCTACTGCAAACCATTGCAGGATAACTGTACCTTATCTCATCAGCAATCGTAAACCAGCATTTATTATGCATCACTACGATCGAGTTGGATTGCTAGAATCATGATGTAGGGCATTTGTCGTCTTTTTGTATGATATTGTTATGCGCAATAAATCATGAACTTAATGCTTTGCGTATATGTTCCTCTGTTGTTTTAACACTCCAAAGAATTATCTTCTTCAAGAAAAGTGTCAGTGATGGTGCGCAGTGCGTTTATAATTATTCCTGTGAACTCACGGAGGATAAGAGACCTCTCGGTCGACCAGGTGATTACGCTTCAAGTTTGAGTTAAGGATACTGCATACCACGAGGGTAAATCGTAAAGGATGCCCTCATTTTGCCTGTACTATGTTGCCATCCTGAGATACAACTTTCCCGGATCTCAACAAGTCAGAGGTCACTTCCGGAGCTCCGTACATTTTTATCATGTTAATGTGATGAATTGTACCGCCCCACTCATGTAGTTTTTTTGTCCAGTCGCATGCCGTGTGCAACTATTTGTTGATGCTGCATTGCAGGCGTTAGCTATTGCGTCTACGGTATCCGTCTACACAGAAGCTACCTTGTCGCTCAGGTAAAATGTTTTGGTTTGTTTGCAAATAATTATTACAGAAACACTTCTTGTGCAGTTATCTGTCGTGAGCCGACTCGGCTTGCCGATCTTCTTTCCTTAATTGTGAGAATTACCACAAAAAAAGGAGAACATACAGAACGGAAATGCAATGAATGAAGGCACTGCGAGTGACTAATGCAGCACACACCCAGGGACTCATTGGTCGCACTGCAAAGCTGATATTCCATTTTCGTGGTCCACATCTCACTTTCACCTGAATTGTCAAATCAGAAATACGGAATTTGTTCTACAGCCCAACAAATGCAAATTAATGATGCGTACCCGGACGGCACTAGGCTTTATAAAGTAACTAGGGCGTTGGTCAATGATGAAGGAAATTGTGGAAGAGCTTGATAATTTACGCTTAAGTTATCGTTAGGCTCCCAGATTTGTGGCAGGCTCGTAACAACGGCCCACAATGTCGTACACACGTTTCACAATGTGCACATCATGTCACTGTGCGTTATTCAGCTTACCGGCACACGAGGTACAGTACCAAGGGTGCTCTATTTACGGAAATGTTGGTTCCTCTGGAGATGTTTAACAGTACTAACGACAGAAGCTATAAACTGCACAACATATGGCGGTGACCATGCAGGAACTAAACTCTGACATTTGAACTGAAGAACTGTTACATTTCATTGATTTACCTCCCGAAATGCTGCAACAATGTCCCATAGCAAAACAGTCCCAAAACATGGTCCTTCATGTTCATTTCTGAGCGGGGCTAACTTCACTGCCTGCCGAAAATTAGCGTCTGTTGTTGTCCGTATCCCCGTATGTTGTCGGTGTTTTCACGAAGTGAAAAAAGGGAAAATTGATTATGTTTCCAGTTATAGCATATATTTGCAAATATCTCATAGGAGTTTGTAGAATTCTGTATCATGATTTTTTCAAAGTTGAAGGGGCATTTTAGTAAAAGTGATTGAAGTAGTACGCATTGGCCTGTCATTACGTAATACACAGCGCACAATTATTGTACTTGTCAGCTCTAAAGATCACCATAGACCATTTTGCAAGTGTGAGCAGGCCATTGGAAACGTACGGGGGGGGTTCAATTTTGATCGTTTTCTGTCACGTTCTCTTGCTTTGTTCGAAAGGAGACTGGCTTAAATACAGTAACCTCATGAGCACAGGAAAAAATAACGATTGTAAAGTCTTTTTACAGAGCACTGAAAATCCCACTTAGATTAGAAACTAATAGGATTTTTAAAAAAATTTTTATATTCTATTAGATTTTCTATTATAGTTTTATACTATGGGATATTACAGATGCCGTTTTTGCGAAAACTATTATGCATCACAACAATATAGAATGTTAAACCTTCATGCTGGTATACACTGATCTTATTCTTGCATACATTGTCAACAGAGTCTGGTGTTCAGCAGCAACGTTTATTTAGCAACCATGAAGTGGACCTTGATGTTCGTCTGTGTTCTTGTTTGCCTTGGTAAGATGATAATCTAAAACAACTTTTTCAGCTGTTGTTTTTAGTTTGTTTTGGATTCTCAATTCTTCTACCATTAATGCACTCGTAACACGCCAAATACCAGATGCAATTCTAGTGTTTTGCTGATGCATCGAATTTGATAATCAATATGAAATCCTGAAATAACATACCTATTATGGCATGCCCATGGTGGAATAAAGACCAATCACATTTTGCCTACAATTTCTAAAGTTTGCAAAAATATGAACTTTTGGTTGGTTGTCGATGTTGCCTCAAATTAGCTCAAAAAGACAATTGTCCCATTAATTTTAAATAGTTTTTTTTATTTATATAGGTATTTTCATTTAGTATTAATTAGAACTTGTATTATTAATAGGGGTTCTGATAGCTACGTGGAATCCTTGAAATTCCGGAAATTGTTTTTGTACGTATGGCCTAGAAGGCCGAGCAGCCACTTGTAGGAAAACAAGACCGTGATGCAGCGGCGCCAATTGGTGTCAGAAAAGGGGAGGGGGCGTCAAGGTGGTAGGCGGGAAAGGTGGAATGATATCGTGTCGGCCACGATATTTGTCTCTTGCTACTGTTTCAGTTCCACAAGAGTGGAAGTTGGCGAATGTGGTTCCATTGTTTAAATTGGGTGATGATGATGCAATGTCAAATTACCGGCCTATTTCACTGTGTTCTGTTGTTGGGAAAATCCTGGAAAGGATTATTTCTAAACGTCTTGTTAATCACATGTACAGAGGGGGATAATTTCACCTAGTCAACATGGTTTCTTGCCCAAGCGCTCGTGTGTTACAC